AACATCTTCACCACAACTCCCTACAGGCAATGTAAACAGAGTTATACGACTACACCAACTGGCCTTTCTCCAAACGCACAAAAGAAGCCTTGGAACAGGCTGGATGTGCTGTCACCCATCATCTGTGAGACGTGAAGGTGCCAATGAGGCTTCAAATTGTCACTGTCACTGAAGGATTCGATTCTCTGCACCGATGCATGACTGGTGCTGGTAACAACCACAGTAATGGCACCGGAGGACCCGAGGAGCTCAGATGAAGACATTAGCATATGTTTCACAAGCCCTGCTAGCTTGTTTCATTTCAAACACATTCAGTGTGTGGGAGTACTTGGGGACAGCGCACGGACTTTCTGTAAGTTCTCAAAACATTTTAGCAACATGTGCAGCCTGCTTACACGTGTTTAACACATGTAGCGCCGAGGAGTCAGCAACATGTGCACCGCTCCTCAAATATGGACACGGCGAAGAAGAGCGAGTGTTTGATCAGTTACACAGATCAGGACACTTCATCGCTCTAAGTGACAGCCGTCCCAACCTTCAGTTCCCACGACCTCAGCATGGGGTGAGCACACCTCTCCAGCCAGGAGTCATGAAGGCCGTTCTCACCTGAATCTAGAGATAAAAACGATGCTGGATTTATCAGATCGTGAGCGGCAGGACGGTGAGTGAAGACAGGTCAGAGGTTAAAGGGTTCAGATGTTGTCGCTGTGAGTTTCGTAGCTTTTCACCTGTTTGCTCAGATCGCTGCTGGACTGGAACCAGCGGTACTGTATCTGCTGAGCTAATCTACTCCAGACCATCATCTCAACACAATGTGCGCCCACTAACATCCCTTCAGCTGGCAAGTTACGACTCTGCACATGCTCTCTTTTGATTTTTTGACACCTTCAAACCAGCTTTCCTTTCCTTTTAAGTCGCTGTAAGCTTGTAAAACTCATCTTATTCCATGCTGTCTGACAGCATCAAACATATTCTGCATCAGCTAATTTAGTCATTTTAGCATTTTAACATTTACCCCAATAAACACGGAGACCCAGAAACGCTTCATGGCTGCAGCTTTCTATCGAACGCAGACGTCTTTGCTCATCATATGAAATATTAGGAAGCTTTGTGGGCTGCAGGTGGGTCAGTGGTTAGCACCGTGGCCTCACAGCTAGAAGGTCGCTGGTTGGCGTCCCGGTGAGGACACCCGGGATCTTCCTGCATGGAGTCTCCATGTTCTCCCCGTGCAGCGTGGGTTCTCTCCGGGTTCTCCGGCTTCCTCCCACAGTCCAGAAACATGTTGAGGTTAGTTGGTGATTGTAAATTGTCCGTAGGTGTGAATGTGAGTGTGCTTGGTTGTCTGTCTCTAAGTGTAGCCCTGTGATAGACTGGTTACCTGTCCAGGTGAACCTGCCTTCACCCTGAGTCAGCTGGGATAGGCTCCGCCCCCCCTGGTGAGGATTAAGGTGTAGAGATGATGGATGGAAGCTTTGTGAGCTCCAATAGAAAAATACCTCAAAACAAGTTCAGGAGATAGCGCCCCCTAGCAGCCATAAGAAGTAAAATAGGAACAAAAGCTGGATTTGTACTGAATCCAAACCAGATCCGGTAGAATTGGTCCACAATGTTGTCGACATTTATCCTCATGCAGCGACGTGTAAGCGTCCCTCTTCAGTGCTCCGTCGTCGTGGGGCTTCGACGCTTCTGTGTCGAGTTTCCTCGAGCACTTCAAACACTTGTGGGTGAAATTAACAGATCATGTTGAGGTTTGAGCTAAAAATGTGGGACAGCAGTTAGTTTTATAGAAAAGAGAGAAGAGCTGGATGTGACTGGATCTAACGGGGACTGGTGGAGTGAAGGAAATGGGCCGACAGAACACTCGGCCTCGTGTTGGCGGTACGAGCACCTCGGACACACCGACAGCCTGCTTCATGTTTCACGCATCAACGGTGTGCAGATCAAAACGCAAACACAACATTTTACCAACAAGCTGATCGATCGCTGTGGGTAAGCTGCTCCAGTCAGCTGTGTGTGAGGAGGAGGTCGGGGTGGGTGGATGGGACATAAAGCTTCACCATGAGAAGCTGCTGCTCCTGTTAGCTCAGCACCACCTGCAGTGTTTGGCTTTAAACTGAGACCTGAAGTAGGTGTTAAAAACTACAACCAGAATAACGGAGGTCATTTCACTGCCTCGGCCCGAAGCTGTTTCTGACTTGTTTGCTTTCCACATGGAAACCTTCCCAGATTCAGGCAGATCACAGCTCGACATCTGTAACACCAGAACCAACAGGATGGGCTTTGGGAGGATTCTGAAATGCAGGAAGTCACCGTATCAACGGACCAGAGTGAGATTCGTACTTCCAGCTATGTTTTTTAAAAGGAATCCACAGAATTTCCAAATGAGATGTCCAGCCGGCTGAGCTCAGAGACGTCCGGTCCGTTACAGGAAACAAACAGGAACCGTTGACATAAAGTTTCATTTGCATGAAGAAAGTTATGAGATGCAGAAGTTTGACAGAGTGCTGGAGAGCATGAGGGACATTTCATGAGAACAGATGAGTCAGTTAGAAAAAGGTTTTGCTCACGAGTCCACAACACGTATCGAAACCACCACCAGGACCAGGTCTCTGGTGGAAACACCAAACGGATCAGATCGTGTGCTGAGGCCTACGCAGCAGATCATCCACACCAGAGGACAGCACCGAGGCTCCGCTGAGAACATTATAATGAATTTAAACATTTTTAAGTGATGATATGAAACCCGTTTCTGGTTCGGTTGCACGCAGCCCTCCGTCCCCGCAGAGGCCCAAAAGGATCATTTATCTCTGTGATACTTGATCAGTTCAGCCAATTATAAAGGCAGTAAACATTAGCTTGAACCGAGGACATGTTCCAGAGTTCTGCTCCTTCTGCTTTGGCTCCGAGCACAAACAAAGCATTCCAGTATCTGCTGCAGGACACATCAGTGCTGCTGCTGACAGTGTTTGTGACTCAGTGCCGGCCTCCTAAATCTCACTCAAATCATGTTACTGAAGCTCTGAAACAATTTGTTCAAAGCAGCTCGAACAAGGAGTCTCTGGTGAGTAATAGTCAGTTTTTATGGTTATTGCTATAATTTGCTCGTTACATCTCGTTGGAGTGCTGAGGAGGAGTTCCACTGTACATGTGGAGCTTTAATAAAGACGTGTGGAACATTTGTGGAGCAAAATGCCTGATAGTTTACACACACAGCGCTGGAGCGAGCTGGAAGGACAGTAAGGAAGTAAAACCAGCGTCCAGAGTCAGGAAGCATGATGAGCTGGTTCCTCAGTGGTACATTTACTGGAGTACTGGACAAACCTGACTGGTTCTTATTCATGAGTCATGTGACAGTTGGACTCCACTAACTGATTCATTCATTACTTATTATTATGAATAATAACCCCAAATGATCTGAAAAAGTTTTTATAAATGATGACGTATTCTTCTAGTTCACACCTGAGCTCCCACAGGTGTGTCCATGTCAGCTCCACCTGCAGCAGGATCAGCACACTGATGCATCACATATCAGGATCCAAACATAGAATGCATTGTTCTAAATCTGTCGTGGTGCAACATGTTTATTTACAAGTGTTTTGATGCAGATCCTGTCCCAGACGTGTCCCTCTGCGCCATTCATCCCGGTTCCGCCTCCATCACCTGAAGCCCGCCACATATCAAAGGCTCCTCGGTGGGAGCAGCGCTCAGAGGCTCGAAGGAAAAGTCATTTTACGACTGTGACACTCATGGAGCAGAGATAAAAGCTGAGGGATGACTCCTCTGTAGCACCTGAGCGCGGTTTTTTTTAATGATAAATTTCCTCCGCGGCCCGGTGCCTCCACCCTACCTGGCGTCTGTCTGTCTCTGTCCTCCGCCTGTCCTCTTTATCATCATGTGGCCGTTGGATTAACAATCAGAGCAGATTATAGCCATAATAAACTCCAAAACACAGGTTCAAGGGTCAGCTCCTGCTGGAGGAGGGAGGAGGGCTGCGCTGCTCTGCTATTACGCGTCATGAAGCTCCATTAATCTGTCTCATTGGCACAAGTGGTTATTATTGAAAGGCGCGATCAAATAGAGAATCCGTCCTGGAGGAAACCAGCAGCTCCATTCACTGCTAAACTCACATTTTGCCAAATCAAATACATAATTTACAGAACTCCTGATCTTCATGTGGCGCATGTTTTATATTTTATATTTGATATAAAATCTGCTTAAATAAAATAAAAGGTAAACTATTATTTATTTTAATTTAAGCTGGAATATGAGCTCATACCTCACAGCTCATTATTAAACACATCCATCCTGTACAGTGTACAGTAAATTAATAATTGCTCTCCACGCGGCCCGGTCGGAGCCATTAGGCCCGTAATGATTTACTTCCAAACCCGCAGAACATCAAACGAGGCAGAACAATGAGGCTGTGCTGCTGTCTCTGCCTGCGCGTCTTTAATTCTCCACAACAAAAGTACAAAGGCCGAGACGGAGACCAAAGGCTTTATCCCTAAACACCTCTAACACCTTCTCCGGGCCGCGGTGCGCGCCGGCGGCCTGCGCGGCGCCTCCTCCGCGGCGGGCCCCGTCTGGAGCGCGTGTGATCGGGGAGGAGAGAGAGGAGCCCCCGGGGGGAGACAGATAGCAGTGGAGGAGGAGGAGGAGGAGGTGTGGGGGAGATGATAGGACAAAAACACCTCATCTTCTCCCCCCTGGCTGTCTGAGCAGACCTGCTGAAGTGTGTGTGTGTGTGTGTGTGTGTGTTGGGGACAGAGTGCGTCATGGAGAGGAGTCTCCACCGGGCTGCGGGCAGCATCTTCAGCGGGCGTCTGCGGAGGGAAGCGGCCTGACCCGACCCACAGGACCACGGGAGGATCAACACCGAAGGAGGACCTTTTAAACTTTTTTTTTTATTAACTTTTTTTTTTTAAACTTTTTTTTTTTTTTTAAACTTTTTTTTTTTTACATTTTATTTTTTCTCCACAATTTTTCTTTCATTTTTACAGAAACGACCTGATGCGTAAGTAGAAGCTGAGCTTGTTTGCTACGGAACAAAAACTAAGATCGAGCGTGTCCGCGGTGTTCCAGCTGAAAGGATTAAAACCCTGAAGGAGTCTAAATGTTTCACCTCCACAGGCTGCATGTAGAAAATAAAATAAAATAAAATAAATCATGATTCTGTAGCTCCAGTAATAGTGACTTAAATGATCAGTTTTATATATTTTTGTCTTTTTTTATTTTTTATGCTAAATGAGTTTTACATAAAAATCATTTCCGCCTTTTTTCTGCTACTAAGAATTTAAGAATTGCTGTTTAACTAAATTGTAATGTGCTCATATTAGACCGTTTTAAATCCCCCTAAAAGACTCGTTTGGGGAGTTTCAGGAGGAGCTTGTCTTCTCCACACAGACACAGGATCAGATGGGACGTTTATTGAAGCATCATGAGTTCAGAGTGAAGATATAAGAATTTGAATTCATGCAGATAAAGTTTGTTTCTGAGCTGAGAGAGGATCTGAAGTCTCCAGGACCCCTCACACACACACACACACACACACACACACACACACACACACACACGCACACACACACACACACACACACACACACAGCAGACCTGCAGCATTATAAACAGATTTACTTTAATCACTTCTCTCTCAGCCAACATAGAAAGCTCATGTCTGCTTTTTTATTATTATTATTATTATTATTATTATTATTATTATTATTATTGTTGTTGTTGTTGTTGTTGTTGTTGTTGTCGGACCCATCAACAGGTAATCGTTCATGCTATCTTTGCTGTAAACTCTCCGTTCTCCTGACCAGTGGCGGAGGGCAGACAGACGCCGGTGGCGGCCGCCCCCGTCGTGCGCGCTCCCGGCAGTGAGGAGCAGCAGCAGCAGCAACAACAGGGCTCGTGCCCGCGCAGCGCTCTGCTCGACCAGAGCCGGCGGCACCGGACGGCGTTCACGCGCGAGCAGCTGTCCCGTCTGGAGCAGGAGTACGGGAAGGAGAGCTACGTGTCCAGACCCCGGCGCTGCGAGCTGGCGGCGGCGCTCAACCTGCCGGAGACCACCATCAAAGTAGGTGGTGAGGAGGTGGAGGGGGGCAGGAGGAGGTTTGTGAAGGATAGAGGAGAGCTGCATCATGATGGCGTCCCAGAATAGCACAGGTCTGGTTCTGTACGGAGATCACATACACTTTACATGAGGAACATGTTCAGAAGCTGCTCAGAGCCGGTCTGCAGAGGTCCAGGTCTCAGTTAAAACTCTGTGAGGACAGTTTGGGCTCCAGGTCCTCTGAGAACCAAATGATCTGAGGCTGTCTGACTGACTGATTTATATTTCACAGTATTCTTCTTCTTATTATTCTTTATTGTGGAGTTTATTCTAAGCATGCTGGTTGTTGATGATCTCCTCACGAGATCCAGATCTCCTGTTGGGATGATTTTAACTCTAAACCAGAGAAGCTGTAGTTGAAGTGAAGGTGCTGCTGCTACAGTCAGGTGTCTGGGCAGCACCAGGACCCAACCAGCTGAGTGGGTTCAGACGTTCTTCATGTCATTCTGTGCTTCTGTCTGAACACCTTCTGCCACATCTCCTGTGTGTCAGACTGACCAGGTGAAGAACACACTGTGGACTTCAAATGCCATTTTTTAATTTATTAATATTTCAGTGTTTGGCCCTGAAGCACAGTGAGGCCTCCTGATCTGCAGCCCTGTGATGCAGAGTAATCCCATTACTTCATTACATTCATAAAACCTAAATACATGTTGCATCTGATTTATATTTATGTGTATTTAAATCAATAGTTTCTTCAGCGTAAAACATGTCAGGATGTATTTTACAGGCCCGTCGTTAGTCCCTGAAACCCAGCTGAACATTTTCTTATTTCCCTTTTCTTCCATCAGACAGTCAAACAGTTTGCTGTCATTAAAACCTCGTTAACGTGCTGCCGGCTTTTACAAGCTGCTCCAGTCAACTTTCACCATTTTTACTTTTTAAAAATAATATAAAAGTTCCTGCACTGTGTGGGTTAATTTCTGGGCATGAAATTGAAGCGTATCATGAACATGTATTAATAAAAGTGAAGCAGCACATTTAGTCCAGTACCGGGTCCGGGTTCGGACAGCTTCCTCCAGGGACAGGCTTTACTTACACACTGGTATCTGACAGCACTTTGTATTTATATACATTTAGATATTTCTGTGTCTTATTTCACATGAAGATGAACTTTATTGAACTAAATCAGCTGAACTATGTAAAGCAGTTCAATGGCCTTCAGCCTGCCCAGTGTCCAGCGCTGGACCATCAGTAGCTGTCATCCCATAATATGCATGATGATTACTGTTACTGTGGTTTTTGATGCTGCTGCTTTTTCCTTCGTTTTCCATGTGAGTATTTCAGTGCTGCAGTATTTCTACTGAGCTACAGGATCTGATTCTTCCTCCTCTGCTCGTCGTGTTCTGTAGGTTGAAGGAGATGCAGATGTTTTATTTAACACACTGTCAGAAATAATCCAGAAAAGTCCAGAACAACGTGGAGTTCTAAACCGGTTCTAGTGTTTGTTCTGAGCTGCAGCGGCGCCTCCACTCAGCCGTCACAGATCTCTACACGTCTTTTGACCTCATCTGTTCAGAACCTCTTTGCTAGTGGACCTGACCAGAACAACAAACCCAAACAGGAAGCAGAAACCTGAGACAGCCGTGCCACCTGTGTGACTCCTCCCCTCGGCAGCATTTCATCTCCTCTCACTTGTGGTTTCAATCAGCGCGGCAGATTGAGTAGTGACAGGTTTAGCGGCGTCTAACATTGGAGGCGGAGGCCCCAGTGCGCCCGGCGCTGCAGCTTTAATATGCAGTAAATGCGCCCACCTTTCTGCCAACTACTGGTAGGTCTTTTATGAAAGAGCAGGAATGCGAGGAGAGGCCTCGTAAACGCTGCCACCTGACGTTTTAGAAGCACAGCCTTTCCGGGAGATTCTATGAGCTGGTAAAATAGTGGAGGGCTGGACAGACTCTCAGACAGCTTGTCACTCTGAGTTTAAAAAAATAAAATCATTCAAGAAAGCGGAGACGTCAGCAGCAGAGAAGCAGGTTAGCAGGAGGCAGTGAAGCCACTTGTAACGTAATCTGGTGGACGGAGGTGCAGTCAGACCCTCCAGTTTCTATTTGTAGGTTTAAAGATGACACGCTGCAGTCAGGACTCTGGTCATCTCTTGACTTCTGCTTTAGCGCCTCCAGCAGGTCAACAAGTGAAGCAAACACTGCATAGATTTGATGCCGTTTTCCACAGAATAAATCCCTCTGAGTCTCCAGGTAACCCCGAGAGCGATGATTTAGCTCTGAGCGAAACGTCTCGACAGCCATCAGGGGGATTGTTTACATCCTGTAAGTTCATAGAGGCTGAATTCTGATGTTTTATCTGTCCAACGCTTCGGTCCACGACCTGTGGATACCTCAGAACCAGCCTTAACCGTCCCATGTGTTTACTGCTGAATGCTAAACATCAGAACTCTCCCTGATGGCCAGTGGACAGATCTTATGAGCTAACAGGCAGCTGATGTTCAGAACCTGGACATTTGGACCTCTGGTGGTCATCACTGTCTCGTTAGAGCTGGTGCTAGAGGCTCGGTTCTGGATGTGGATGAACCATTTCGTTGCTCAATTGCCTTCAGCTGCACGTTAACATCACCTGCTGACGTCAGACCGTTCTGCTAAACCTGGCTTCAGGTTGGTCACATGTTGTTTTCTGCCGTGGTTTGGTTAAGATTAGGCAACATGGACACATGGCTAAGCACAGGTACCATGTAGGAGTAAGGAGGGATTGTAGTGACAGTTTTATATTATGGATGATTCTGAAGGAAACTTAACGATCTGATGGTTCTGAGGCAGCTTCTGGGGCGTCTGCTCCCCACAGTTTGTCAGCTGCCACATGAATATTGCAGTGAGTATTGGGCTTTAGGATATTCTCAGAAAGTGCAACCTGTGCTTAATCAAAAAACAGCTATATTAGGCCTCTGTGTTCAGGGTGATTGAGTTACGGCTCTGGGAGGGAGTTTAAATGAGGGGCCACATGCTCGATGTGCATTAATTGCCTCTGTGATCTCAGAGCTACTGAAGCTTCTACTGAGCAGCCGAACCAGCCGACACGCCCTCAAATCTCAGTTTAAAAGCTCTGCGACACGAACACGGCGCTGCTGCTTCCAGTTTGTACGTCAGTCACCTGAAGCAGATGTAGGTGTACATCTCAGGTGGTCTCGTCTCAGGTGTGCATCTCAGGTGGTATCGTCCATCTGGAGCACTCACACCAGAGAAGGAGACTTGTTCAGTTCTGCCTCTGACTGTTTAGCCGTCACTGTTTCAGCCTTTCCTTCCTGTGGTTTCAAACCTTCCCTGCCTCCTGCTCACAGTCGTCCCTCCTCTTCCTCTTCCCTCCAGGTCTGGTTCCAGAACCGGAGGATGAAGGACAAACGCCAGAGACACTCCCTGCCGTGGCCTCACCCTCTCGTCGACCCTCTCGGGGCTCTCCTGATGGGCCGGGCCTCTCCTTCCTCCACCTTGCCGTACCCCTTCATCCCGCCCCACCTGCCCCTGCACCACTACTCCCCCCTGGCTCTCTCCTCGCCGCCGTCCTCGGCCCACAGTCCCTACAGCGCCCCCATGAGGCCCCTGGATGCGCTCCGCCTCTCCCAGTACCACAACAGGCCCGGGGCGCTGCCTCCATCAGCGGCGGTCCTCTACCCCTCCTCCAGCATCATGCACCACTCCGCCTCCTGCCCCTGCCCCCTCTGCCTGCACTGGGGACCGGAGCAGCTGCTCAAAGCCAGAGGGGAGGCCATGGGACTGAGCCGGCCCCGCAGTCCCAAGACCACCATCCATCCTCCTGGTCTGGAGCGGAGGGAGGAGATGGTGTAGAGCCCGATGAAGGCAGGCAGCCGCTCACTGGGATCTCCAGTGATGGCGTGTCCACGGAGGAGCTGTGAAGCTGCTGCAGACTCCAGAGCTTCTCACGCTTCGCTGTAACTCCTAACAACAGATGAAACTATCGAACACCTCGATGCAGGAAACTGAAAAGTCTGATCTAACAGTGATCACGTGACACTGCTGACAGAACAGCAAACTCAGCACTACGTCTGCAGCAGACCTGTCTGATGTGGGACGCTCTGAACCACAAGCCCAGGCTTTGTTCTGAGGAACTGACCACTGTACTCTTTGCACAGCTTATGTTCCTAACAAGAGGTTCTTCTTTGTTTTTTTAGTTTCTGTTTTTTCTCTCCTTCACTACACCTTCTGCAGAAAGTCGTCCTGTGACCTCAGAGCTGTCCTCAGACGTGAGGCTGGGTCTGGGTCTGGGTCTGGTTCTGGGTCTGGGTCTGGACCTGGGTCATGTTTTATCTTTCATTTACATTATTTTGCTCCCACATTCATGAACATTTATCCTGATGACAGATGCTTCGTCCTGCAGAACTCAAAACGTAGAACCAGTCCAGACTGTACTGTTCATGTGATGGTATCCAGAGTTTCTCTGTTTTCTCTGCTGTAACTACTAGAACTACTGTTTTTATTTATTTGTAGAACCGTAAAGCTTTACGTAGCGTCCACTGTCCCCTCTGGCTGGAGGGCAGCAGAGTCACAGCTGTTCACATCTGATTAAACTTCTAGTGAGCATCAGAAGCTCGAAGGCCAAGAAGGATGCTGCAGCAGGTTTCAGTCACCACACGATGACGTCAGAACTCATGTCTGGACCAGACTGAGAGCAGAAGGTGTGTTTAAACTACGCTGTGGGAATCAAATCATCTTTAAAAATCTGGTTAAAGGTTTTATGACGTTTGCTAACTTGCTTTTTCTTTGGAGAGTTAAACAACGATATCAACGCTGATGATAATCTTGTGTGCAGTCTGGAGTCAGGAAGGAAGCACACGGGAACAAACAGAAGGAACCTCTGGTGTGTTTAATCAGCACACATCAATCTAAAATGTAATCTGTGAGCATCTTCAGCGAGGCCATCCAGACACAGCAGGTGGGCTCAGGCTCTGGCTGGATTCCTCTGACAGCCTCAGCGTGACGATGAAACCTCTCTCCGGGTCACTGAACCAAGCTGCTAAGACACATTTCCAGAGTTGAACTCCGTCTTAAAGCACAAACTGTGATCCTCACAGTGTCTGGATTCAGCATCAGGACAGAGCTGGATCATGTCTGGAGCCATCGTCCTGACTCCGGCTCTGGACTCGGCACAAAGACACCAGACTGATCCTCTGATCCTGATCCTGCTCAACACAAATGTTCATAACAGGAGGTAATGAGATGCTGATGATCTCCTGACGGGACAAGGTTTAGATGAATGTGTCTGTCAGACGTCTTTAAGCCGCTGGCCTTTGCTCAGTCCAGTCGTTCAGCGGTCCGACGTGAAGCTTGTCGGCCATAAAAGCTCCACACAGAAGCTTCTTTGTCTTTGTCACCACGCCCAGAGCCAACAACTCTGGCTTCCACCTCTCCCGTCGCCGTCTCATCCACTTCTGCTCCGATGTTTGACGTAGTTTCTTGAATGGACACCATTTGCACTCCAGAAGAAGGACGACGATGTTTTACTGTCAGAACATGTGAAGGAACGAACCGTCACTTTTTAAAAAGATGTTAATAAAAGAGTCGACGCAGCGTCTGCATTTTATAACAAGAAAGCAGAAACTAGATCTACTGACTGAACCGTAAGAATAACGTGTTTAAATCTGTGCTGTGGAGGTGAATGAATTCTGATCCTACTCAGCTCTGTGTGAACTAGTTTGGCCTGAATGTCGTCTACATTCATTTCATAAAGTGCATTCTAGCCTTTAAACAGTTTCCAGTTTGAATAAAATGCAGATGACTATTCTGAATGGAGTTCTGACTTTTTCTTCTTCTGCATATTAAAACCATAAACAGACCTTACTGGATTAAACAGATCCAGTTGGTATCGATCGGTTTAAACTCTGAGCAGGTAAATAATGATTTGCATGATTTCCTGGTCAGACTTTTCCTCTTGTTTCTGTTCATCTAAACGTACGGCGGCGCACCGTAACATCCTGTAAATGGTCAACATGCACTTCGATCCAAACTAAACCTGCCTTTAAATGTCACTTTTATAATAAATGTGCCGTGTTTGCTCCGTGGCATAAAGCATCCTCTCTGACCTAATTCATATTTGCCTTGATGCCGCTGATTAGTTGTTTCGGTTCTCTGTGGTCCGATGAAGTTTTACAGTCAAAACACAAACTGCTGCCGAAGCAATAAACAGATTAAATGATTGAAGCGGCCATATGTGTGTGTTTGAAAGGCATAAAGAGCAGGACGGGAGGAAGGGCTGGGCTGAGTGTGCAGTTTGTTAGGCTGCGTGTTCGCATACGGCCGTGGATGTGTGTTTAAATGCATGAGCCGTTGTGTTTGTTGGTGCCTTGTGGTTGTTATTTGATCTCTCAGAGTGTAGCAGCGCTTGTCTTGTAAATGCTGCCGCGGCTGTAAAAGGTTTTGGACAGAAAAGTCAATCAGCCTGTTTGCTGGTGATTCCTATAAAGCTGGAGGGAGATGGCTGTGTGCACGCTGCTGCTGCTGCTGCTGCTGCTCAAACCGGACCAGCGGTTCTGCTTTCAACCAGATCGCAGCTAAATCGGATCTGACCCCCAAATATGTGATGATTTTTTTGTTCTTTGAGCAGACTGCTGCTTCATGTCCAGAAACTCAGGATGAAGTCCAAGGCAGCGAAAGAGTCCAATCAGCTAAATGGCAACGATCACGTCAGACATCCGTCATTTAAACCGTCTCAAAAATATAGAGTTTAAGAAGGCAAAAGGCTCAAGCCGGCGGTTCAGGATGGCAGCTGTCAGTCTCCTCCTATTACAACTTCTCACTCATTGAGATTCAAACGAAACCCATGAAACCATCAACAAGCTCTGACAGAATACACAAACTGTTCAGCTCTGTCATTAGGTCGAGGAAAGGAAACCGCTCAGCTGAGTAAAGACAGCCAAGTTAAAGCATGATGGTCAGAGAAGTGTCTTTAACCGTCAGCCTCAGACATCCCGACTAAAGCTGGAATCTGGAAAACGGAAAATAAAAAGTGAGAGAAATTGAAAATAAATATCCCTCCGCTCCACTGCAGCTCCTCCATCTTTCATGTCTGTTCTAAGAAAAGCTTAAATGGTCGAGATAAAAGCCCAGGATTCACTCTCCATCCTCTTCAGGAACCCATCCTGTCCTCTCTGGTCACGGCCTGGACTTCCTAAAGCCTGCTAACGGAGCTAAACGAGGCAAACAAGTCTCGTTTCCTCTCATACTGCCTGAATTACAACATGTTGAAAGGTCAGCAGGGAGTTTCTGGACGGTGATCTCTAATAAATACTGCCTACCCCACCTTCAACATCTCCTTAGACTAGGTCTCACATCAGACTACCAGAGACCTTCACTGTTGGTCTACTGCCACGACTGAGGGAGACCAGCAAGAGAAGGAGAACTGTTTGGACCAGGAGGCACAAGGAATGGGCAGAAGATCAAACTGGGCTTTAGTGCGATGAGTTCAGATGTGATGGTATCTGCATGTGTGGTTCCCACCAGAAGCTCTGAGGAGGAGCTGTGATGGTGACACCGTTGGAGATTTAAATCCAAGGCCACAGTGAACCAGCATGGCCGCCACAGTGTCCTACCCAGAACACGCCATCCCATCTGGTTTGAGCTCAGCGCGACCGTCAGAACAACGACCCAGAACTCGCCTCCAGACTCTGTGAGGGCTGTTTGACCGAGAACCAGAGTGATGGAGTGCTGCATCAGATGACCTGGCCTCCACAATCAGCAGCCCAAACCCAGCTGAGACGCTTTGGGATGAGTCGGACCGCAGAGCGAAGGGAAAGCAGACAACAAGTGCTCGGCACATGTGGGATCTCCTTCAAGACTGTTGGACGGGCTCCAGGTGACAACCTCATGAAGCTGCTCGGAGGATGAAGAGTGTGCAGAACTGTTATCAAAGCACAAAGTGGCCACTTTGAAGAGGCTGAAATGTAAAACATGTTTGGTCTCATTACATTTTTTTCCCGTACTACATAAATCCAAATATGTTATTTCATGGTTCTGATGTTTTCGGTTTTGTTCTACAATCCTGAAGTGGTACGGGAATGGAAAGCACATGGAGGGGTAGGTGTGTCTGGTACCGCTCTCATAAGTACATGTTTGAATTAATGAACCTTTTACAAGCAGTCACATCTGAACATGGCGTGTTCATCAGATATATCCGACTGTGTTTTATAGTTCTCAGCTAACAAAAGCTAGAAGAGAGCGCGCTGCTGCACATTTCAAAGTGGGACCCTAAAGTCTTTACAGTAATAAAGGCTGGTGTCTGAACAAATCAAAGTCTGACTGATAAAACTGAGTGTGTTCATTGTAAAGGCGTTTACAGTCCAACAGTAATGCCTCAATGACAAATCAGTATAAAGTTTACAGAACAAAACAAAGTGTGTGATCTCCTTTGTGAGCTAAATTCATCTCCCTGAGCAGAATGGGTCCAGAGCCAGTCGACCTGCAGCGACAGCCGGCACAGTCCCGTCCTCGCTGCTGATTCGCTGCCAGCAGGTGTGCCTTTAAACCTCAGACACCACGCGCTGATTTCCAGCTCACCTGGACAGGTGTTCCCCGTGATAGCCGCTCTCGAGCAGGCTGAAAGCAGCAGCAACTCTTCATAGGCTGTGTGTAATAATGTAGGACAATAAACAGAGGGGTTAATTACAGGTGAGGATGTCTGAACAGAGCTTAGCACGGCGGGACACACAGAGGATACGGCTCTCTTAATAATGTGGTATAATCATGTAAAGCCGTAAGTAGAGGGGGAGGCAGCCCGGCCTGTCTCAACTGGTTCAGGTGGATGTAGAGCAGTAAGTAATGAATAAAAGGCTTTC